TTTAAGGAGGATGGGAGGAACTCGGGCTGGTGGTATACCAGTGTTAGGCCAAGGACGAGAGGCTCTTTAGTTTTAGATACCCCTTCTCAATTAAGAAATGGAAGGAAGAGTTCTTATATGTGTCGGAAGAGTGGCAGTTTCATTCTGCTGAGGTGAATAGGGATGACATGGTCCATGTACTTTATCACTCGCTATGTAAGTAACTGTCTCGTGGTGTTTTGATCGAGGTGACATTCGGGGCTGAGCTAATGATTTTGTTATACGATTGTGCAAATTACAGGAGGCTCACTCTGACTAAAGACACTCAAAGATGAGCTGACAGAGTTCGAGCTTTACCGAAGAAACAGAGGTCTTGCAAGTATTTGTTGTCAAATTCCAACATTTTCCAAGCAGGCCTGATTCAAATTGTGGTTTCAGGACCTTTCGTGGCTATTACGTCCACATCAGTCCTTTCCAGTTCAGGTAGGTCTTAGGTGATTTTAGTGGGGCTGTAACTGTTAAAGTCGAGACTTATATACTTTCTTGTGGTATTTTCAGCACACAGCACGGAAATGTTGAGGTACAAGGCGGCCAAGGCTGGGGCTGCGGCTGTAGCAAGGCGAAGAAGAGAGATGTCCCATGTCGGTCTGAGAGATGTTCTGAGGATATAGAGGATAAGGTCCCGTTGACGAGAAATTGAACTTTGACTCCGGTAGTCCCACGTATTCCTGAGGCGGTGCTTTCTCCGAGCCCATCTCCTGTGGTCGCCATCACTCAGCCCTCTCCAACCCTTCATCCTCCAGCTCCGATTGCTCCCACCTTTGTCGACACCAGTTCTGCCAAGTTACGGGATAGGTGTTCGGGCTCGCAGAGGCCCAGTGTGGACAATCTTATAGGCTAGAGGCCTGAAATTTTTCTTGACTATCTCCAAGCTCTCTCACCTTTGAGGGAGGTTACTGCTGCACTTACTCCGCCCCTGAGAGACTCCGTAAACCTGCTTACTAGGAGCTGGGGTGAGATGGAACAACATTTTTTGAATGAAATACCCATTGGTGAGGCCTTAGTGACAGCGCAGCTCCATGGCCACAACTCTATTTTGTATATGACGGCGGTGGCTGATAAGGTATTCCTCTCAGTTTATTACATGTCGGGACTTTCGATTTCATGTAACTATTCGACTAATAATTTTTTTTTAAATAGGTCAAGTCCGAACTTGACAAGCTGATGTAAGCTAAGGACCAAGCATTTAACCTTTACAGCAGTATGGAGGTGGAGAAGCCCCAATTTGCTTCGAAAGAAAAGAAGTATGAGGTGAAGCTCAATCAAATGGGAGTCGAGCTGAACTCCAAGCTTGACCAAGAATAGAGGTTAATGGGAGAGATTAGGGCCTTGAGAGCCTCAAAGGAGGAGGCTAGGAGTCAGGCTGAAGAGGAAAGGAAGAGGTTTGAAGAGGAGCGAGGCAGACTTGAGGAGGCCGTAGCCAAGGTCAGAGAGGCGAACGAGAGGGTGAGGACTGTGACCCAGAGAGCAGAGGAGGCAAAGGTCAAGGCTTTGAAGGTGGTTGAGCTCTGGAAGT